CACAGATGTGGATGAGTGTGCCGAGGGCAATGGCGGATGTCAGCAAAGCTGTATCAACATGATGGGCAGCTACGAGTGCCACTGCCGGGAAGGCTTCTTCCTCAGCGACAACCAGCACACCTGCATCCAGCGGCCAGAAGGTCAGCCCATGACCGGGGAGGGCCCTGCCCCTGCCCTCCCCAGGCTTCTCTTCCTAGCTGTCCCTCAACACGCCCTAAGTCTTACCCTCTGTTCTCAACTCTGCTAGCTCCATTTTCTCCACCCCCAACTCAGTCACAACCTAAGGGCCCATGGACAGATATGTATTGGAGCAAAATCTGCAGGAATTAATTTGGGGTCAGGCTCAGTATGGGATTGAGGCTACTATGGGGCGTCCTCTGTGTCCAGACCTGAGGTGGATATTGTTCCTAATATCAGTGGCTGAGTTGTGGGTGGCTGAGTTTGTCTCGGTTGCTGTTTATCTGAAAGGGCTGCATCAATGCCTTCTACCTTGGATTTGATTTGGAGGCTCAGGCAGGAATAGTGGGGTACATGTTACCTATTTCTGTGACTTACCCCCAACCCCCACTAGACTGTGACATCCCTGAGGGCAGGGACTATGTCTAATTCATCGTCATATCCCTAGCACCTAACATACTGCCCTGCATGTAGTGAGAGCTTAATAGATGTTGAATAAAATTGCATAGTAATTATCTATACCAATTACTCCCACTCACATTATAGATCTGGTTGTTATTTATCTTCTTCCTAGTTTGTCTCTAAGCTCCTTGAGGGAAGAGATCATGTCTTACCTTTTTCTGGATCCTTCCTAAATCCACCCATTCCCTAGCACAGCGCCAGACACCTATTAGACACCATTTTTTGGTTGTTTAAGGAAAGTGTGACCGTACAGATTTTCTTAGAGAGGGATGGGTATCAATAGCTATCATTCAGAATCGTTCTGCGCTCTGCTTATAGAACCCCACTCTGTGGGCAAGACAGGAGGCCTGTGACAGGGAGAGTCAGCGCCCTCTCGGTGTTAAAACACCGTGGAATTCTCCCAACTTCCTAGACCCCGACTTGCCCCTTAGAGTTCCTCCTCTTCTAGGCATCCCGGGGCATAAGGCATTCACTCCCTTCCTTTTCCCTTTTAGAAGGAATGAATTGCATGAACAAGAACCACGGCTGTGCTCACATTTGCCGGGAGACACCCAAGGGGGGTATTGCCTGTGAATGCCGCCCTGGCTTTGAGCTCACCAAGAACCAACGGGACTGTAAATGTGAGATAACTGGGATGGCAGTGGGAGGAAAGGGAAACAAAGTGGAGCAGTGTGGGGCCTCAGCAGCAGGAAGACAGGGCTGAGAGGAAAAGGGAATATGGGGAAAACAACTAGAAAAGAGGGCCAGTATCCATGTTGTGGAGAACTGCGGTCCTCAGGGAGAAGCAAGCTGATAGACCTCTGCCCTCTCTGTGCACAGTGACATGCAACTATGGTAACGGTGGCTGCCAGCACACATGTGATGACACAGAGCAGGGTCCCCGGTGCGGCTGCCATGTCAAGTTTGTGCTCCATACTGACGGGAAGACATGCATCGGTGGGTGAGGCCAGGGGAAAACTCAGTCTGCCTGTGGTGGTGGGGGGGCCCTTGGGAACCAACCAGGGGTAGTGGGGGAGCACATGGGCCCAGGTGCTGGGACAGAGGGACTGGAAAGGGAGTTAAAGACCCAGACAAGGCCAGGTCTAGTGAAGGACAACTCTAAGAGTGATTGAAGGGCTCACCCGACCCTCTTCCCCTCCCCAACCCACTGGTTCTGCTGCCCTTCCCCAGGAGCCTCGCAGTCCTCTTTGTCCCAGGACAAAGTGTTGCCAACAGAATAATTAGCAAGGGTGTTTGCCACCAAGGCTGTGGTTGAGAAGAGGTGGGAGGGCTG